CCATACTCTTAGCTCTTGAAATTGCTATAGTTTGTTATACTTGCTGTCAAAAATTACAATTATATGAAAATAAAGACTCATTAAGTACATGTTTAATTGAGATAGATGCTAGGCAGTTAAGCATTACTTTTGTTTTCTAAGAACATACATTGGTATGATAATCTTTTAAACCACAAATTGCAAATTAACTGGTTGCCTATTTAAAATTTATTGGGATTATTATTAAATGATACAAGCTTCAATACTATGCATGTAATCAGATAAAAGTTCAAATACGTTTTGTGCAACTGTAAAGCTAATTTTGAGGAACTGAGAAGCGGATCAAACACTACATTTTCTGGGCTTGCTAAGACTTGCCTTCTCTATAACCTATGGTATTTGGGTTCAAGTCAATCATACAATGTCCCAGGGATAGGGCCACTACATTAAACTCCCTCTATCCATCACCCTTACTAATCGCCCCACCATGAACACACTCTACATCACCCACCAGCTCTAACCCATCTCTGTCTATCTCTGTCCTGCTGACAGTAAATCCTCTCACCAGCTAATTGAATGAGTGCACCTGGTGCTGCCTCCCAAAGATCCACAAAGACAGACTTTGATGGACAGCAGAAAGTGGCTCGATGTGAAAACAAAGCCTTTTAACTGAGAGCCGGGCTTTGTTCTGCTCAGGACTCTAAGGTCACTCCAGCTCATTCTGGCTGTGGTGGGGATCTTAATTTTCACTCATCCAATTTACTTGCAGCTGTCATTCTTTCCAATATTAAAAGTTCAGCGCCTCGAGTGCAGGGAATTTAAGAAAGAGGGGGAGTGAGATGCGCTTGTTGCAAACTAAAAACAGCAGAAGCAAGTAAAAGCTGGCTTGGCTCTGAAGTACAAAAAGTTATTTTCAAAGCCCATAAATTATGACATAGTGATTAACATGTAATTTAAATATATTTAAACAACAATTATATCACATTTCCAGCCCAGCTAATTGGCCTCACAGATGTTCCCTTGGAGCTGCATTGCCCTTCCATTGGGGAAATAAATGAGGTGCTTTTTATCATGGAAACCAGATAAAAAAGCAAACTGAAAGAAAAATGGAAACAGAAACATAAAAAGCAGTCAGTAACCCTAAAAACAATGAATGTTAAGGGTTTTGTATAGAGTTTGTTTCCATTTTAAATGCTGAAAACAGGAAGAAAGGAAAAAAAAAAAAAGAGCATGAAGACACTCTATTACTGTGATGCTGTTTGGCAGTGTGTCCAGAGAGGGAGCTGGCAGGTTGCTGATGGGGAGACTTGTCAAAGCAGGGACAGGAGATGCACTCAATGAGGCAGAGCTCACTTCTCTCAGAGCAGGCTAACAGGAACTGGCCAGTTATTTGCAGTACACCACCTTTACAACTAAAGGTGTTCTAGTCCAGAAAGTGAAGATAGATAATGGACTGTTTCCTGACTAAGAATGGTTTGTGACTTTAGTCCTTTGATCACTCATCTTTCAAATTCAAAAAAATAATTACAAAATGCACAATCAACTCTAGCTTTAGCTGTGATTCAAATTGAGCATGACCGAGAACGGTCATTTTTTTGCCAAGTAAGATGTCGAAGGAACACAGGTAATTACTAGTATTTTGGAACACTCTTCCTTCCTCTTGTGTGAATTCACTCCAGCGGGATGATTCTTTAGTGTTTATTTGTTTCTATTCCCATAATCTCAGGCAATATCTGATGGATTTGTATAAACCCCCAAAGATTCATCAGTGTCCACATCTTTTCTAGTATGCCATAGAATTTCCAACATCTGTAACAGTGACCAGTGATTTTTATCATGAATATTTAATAAACATTTGTTAAATACTAGTCAATCAATGATTAATGGTAAGTCTGGGGTTTGAAATGTTATAACACTAATTTGGAAAGTTCTCATATTTTATTTTGTGCCACTCCTCAATTTTACAAATCACTGAACTATATACAATATTCCTTTCTCAAATATTATGAACAAATAGAATTGATTTTCTGTCTTTGTAAAGGACAGCAAGATCTGCCCATACTTATGATGGTTTGAGAACAGAGAAGCATTAAAAATGCATCTTTAATGGACACCTTTGACATGAGATTGCTTGACTTCAGGATTTTTATTAACTGACATATGCTTACATGTTATGTATAGTCTACATTTATATAATAGTGCAGAGCAGAGTTTGTCATCCTGAAGAATAAATTAATGACCAAGGATAAAGCTGGGGATCTGAGACAACTGAATATGTATGATTAGACCTCGAACCTAAAATTTCTAACAAAACAAAATCATACGTATATAGTACAGTAACAACTCCTGTCCATCAAATGTTAAATATATCTATGAAAATAACATACATTGCTGAATGAAGCAAGAACGTATGGTGTGTATACATAATCAGATGCTACTTGAATAGAAAAATAGGTAAGAGATTGTCATTTGCAAAGACATAGATGGACCTAGTGATTTTATCCTAAGTGAAATAAGATAGACTCACGCACAGCCTCACTCGCTCCTGTGTTTGGTTGGAGAAGGAAATAGCTCTTTATTCTCCATGCTGTCTTAACTATAGGGTGAAATGCATTGTAAATTTATTATATAAGATTTATTCTTTGATCAGTCTCACAAGCAACATTACTTAAGTGAAATTGTATTATTCAATTGCTATTGATTTACATTAAATAATTATCATTCATAGAAACAATCTCCTAAGATTGCTTTATGAACCTCTAAGTTGTAGGAACATTGATGTTAGAGGATATTTAGCTTAGATATTTTATATGAATGGCATAGTGGCTGGAAGGCATTTTTAGTTATCTCTGTTTGGTTAGGATCAGATATAGAGAGCTGGATCATAAAGGCAGCTTTATTCATTATGCTCAGTACCACAAAAGAAGAGAAATTCTCCCAGAGAAGGCAGTTCTCAGTGTGTTTAATAATGAGTGAATATATATGAGTATATTTCCATATTAAGGAACAGACATTTCTTTCTCTTTCTAAGCAACATTGTCCTTAACATTTTGTCGTATTTTGCCTCCACTTTTATATAGCCTGAAGGACAGAGTATAAAGCTATAAAAATATAGATTTTTTTTAAGCCAACACTGGTTATAAGTCTGCCTACATAAAAGGAATAGAATGTATATTTCCAGTAGTCAAGAATTATTTTTTAAAGTTTTCCTCTGTTCCTTACTTTATAAAAAGTAAGATGGGAGATAAAATACTATGTGGTTTGTTTCTAAGCAGAGACTGAGTGGCCTTCATTTACATGGTGAAAATAAATGTAGCTGGATTAAAAACACTTTTTCAGACAAATTGGAATCTACCTTCTATCTCCTTCTTATCTCTGCCCTCCTCTTTTTCATTTCTTGTAAGGTCACAAATTAGAACCTTGTGACGATCTAAATGGCAGGGAGCTGTTTTGGTCTTTTGATATGTGAAAAAATTATCCTTTATTTTACGACATAATTTCATCATTACTCGCTCCCCCTGCCGGCCCCAGTCTAGAAGGCTGGATTACTCTGAAAAAAAAAAAAAAAAGAAGATTTCCATGTCATTCTTATTTTTTTAAATCAGTAAAAATTTAATTTTTCCAATGTGACTTTCTTTGGAGGTAGAATTGGTTTTTAAATTTGCTTACTTGTAGTAAGAATGAACACAGTTTGACTATTTAGGAAAAAAAATCACTGTTGTGCGCTTTCCCCTTTGGCTCATGCAAATCGTATCTTTTCTTTCTCTTTTCTTTATTTTAATTTTTCATCCATGTTGCCTCTTATTATATCCATCATTCCATTTTTCTTTCCTATTAGAGTGAAATTGGACACAGCCCTCCTCCTGCCTACACCCCCATGTCGGGAGTAAGTATTTCACAATTGGCCTTCATCTTTTAGGAGTTTTGGTCTTCTCTCTTAACCACGTTTCTTCTTTTGTCTTCCCATAATTTCCTCATTTTTGCCTTTGCCAACAGTGAGTCAAGAACTAGCTGAAGCTGCCTGTGTAGATGTCTGATCTCAGGTGATAACTGAAGCTAAGATACCAGACATCAATAGGCACTTTCAATAATTATTGGAAAACTTCACTCAGCTCATGGATGATTATTCTACATGAAGATGTTATCTTCAGTCTCATGACTACAGGTCATGTGCTGCAAAGTCTGAGTTTCAAGGCCTGTCTTTTTGGTAGGGACTGGACACACAAAGTCATAGTAACCACAGACAAGAGGGTAACATTGGCATACCATTGTGCATAGCATTTCACTGTACTTCTGCAATTAAGACCATTTGTTGTAATGTTTTACTTTGAGTTTTTGTAACAAAATTAGGCAACTTTAGAAAAACAATACACAATCTTTTTTATTAGATTATACTCTAGTTACTTGGTGATTTTAAAAATTAAAATTTCAAACTATTTCTCCATAATTTTGACCTATTAAGAAAAAGAAGTCAGGACACAAAGAGCTAGAAATTGCAGTATCAGCACTGGGAAGTTGCAGACAGAAGATCCCTATGGCTTGCTGACCAACCAGTCTAGGCAAATAGATGAGCTCCGGGTACAGTGAGAAACTGTCTCAAGAATTGAGGTAGAAGGCTTCAACGCAGTGGTTTGCAACCTGTGCATCCTGACCCTTTTGTAGCAAAATTACAGCTAAGAAGTAGCAAAGAAATAAGTTTATGGTTAGGTGTCGCATAACATGAGAGACTGTATTAAGGTTGAGAACCAGTGGTATAAAGAAAAAAAAAAAACAGCATTGACCTCTGATGTTCATATGCATGTATAGCTGCACTCATACATACATGCACAGAAAAAAAATAACAGAATTTCAAATGTTTCTAGTATTGACTTCAACTTCATTAGGCCCTAGGAAAAAAAATAATTAATTACTAAATTTGCAAGACAATGTGTTTGGTACCTTTTTACCTAATAACATTCACATTTCTTTTACAGTTTTTACTGCCAGCTGATTCTCCCAATGTGTTTCTACTATTTTAACAGAATCAGTTTGTGTACCAGGATGGGGGCTTTGCTACACAACAAGGAATGCCCATGCCCTACAGAGCCACAACCAGCACTATACCAGAGGCTCCAGTCGCTCAGGGTGCAACAGCTGAGATGTTCGATGAGTCCTGCTGTAATGGTACCCTACGGAAGCCAGTGGCACCCCATGTCCAAGAGGACAGTAGCACTCAGAGGTATAGTGCCGATCCCACAGTGTTTGTCCCAGAACGGAACCCTCGAGGAGAACTGGATGAAGAAGGCTACATGACTCCTATGCATGACAAGCCCAAACAAGGTACGAGCTGAATGTTCTGAAGTGACTGCATTCAATGATCACCACCACCAAACAAGCAGGGTGTAGAAACCAAACTTCAGCCAGCAAGAATGGTGACATTTCAGATCTATAATAGAAAAGGCTCTACAACTACAGAATAGTTTCCGGAATATGTGGCAACTATGTGCCTAAATACTTCTTTAAATAGTGTTAATTCCAGGCTTCACCTGAACAAGAAATCAGATTTTTAACAAAATCCTCAAGCGATGTATAAGACAAAGAAGCCTGAGAAATGACAACCTAGTCCATCTTAATTGCAATAGTTGAGTGAGCTATAATATTATAGGGCCTCAGAACCACTGCTATGTTGAAGTTACCATGGAGGTTGGAAAGCCAGGTGTTACTGGCAAAGGACCAAAGCTTTTGATGCCAATGATAAAAGAGTTGATTTATTTAAAACATGCAATTTCACTCACTTAGCTTAGAGTGAGAGGTGTGAATCCTTGTAGACTGCTTTCTTAGCACAGAGGAGAACTTAGATCTTAGACCCCAGTATTAAAACGAAAAAGAAAAAAAAACTAAGTTTGTCACAGAAAATTGTGATTTTTGTGTCTGATGCTTTAAAAATAAAATTTGTTTCTGTATATACTTACACAAACCACAATCTTGAAGATAGTTTGTTAGTTTGTGAATTAATAAACATAGAAAGGTTAAACACCCAGGTTAAATAACATTTCAGTTTTAAAATCAAATGAAAAAATTCTCTTTCCTTCTAAGCTATCAGTACCACAAATGGAGAAGAGGAATAGTTGTTACTAAAAGTAGAGATTATAATGATGTCTGTCAGTATCATTAGAAGCTATATATTAAGATGACTGCTCTTCCAGAGGTCCAGAGTTCAATTCCCAGCAACCACCTGGTGTCTCCAAACCATCTGTAATGAGATCTGGTGCCCTTTTCTGATATATGTATATATATAGAGAGAACACTATGTATATAATAAATAAATAAATCTTTTTTTAAAAGACTGTGAAATCCTAGGATATTATCTTTATATGACTTTGTTCACTGTTTATAAAACACAAGCTACTGATCCCTAAATGACCTAACATCATATAATGAGGGTTTTGATGAATATAGTCCAGAATAGATGGTAGATTATACATAGATAGATGATAGATTGAATAGACGGTAGATAGATAGATAGATAGATAGATGATAGATAGATAGATAGATAGATAGATAGATGATAGATAGATAGATGATAGATAGATAGATAGATAGATAGATGATAGATAGATAGATAGATAGATGATGATGATAGATAGATAGATGATAGATAGATAGATAGATGATAGATAGATAGATAGATGATGATAGATAGATAGATAGATAGATGATAGATAGATGATGATAGATAGATAGATGATAGATAGATAGATAGATGATGATAGATAGATAGATAGATAGATGATAGATAGATGATGATAGATAGATGATAGTTAGATAGATAGATAGATGATAGATAGATGATGATGATAGATAGATAGATAGATAGATAGATAGATAGATAGATGATAGATAGATGATAGATAGATGATGATAGATAGATAGATAGATAGATAGATGATAGATAGATAGATAGATAGAGACATAAATGAAAATTTCTGTATAGAGGGTGTTTTGGAAACTTTTTAGTTTGTTTTTATATGTATGTGTGCTTATGTTTGTGCATTGGTGTGTCTCTCTTTGTGTTCTTATCTGTGTTTATGTCACATGTGTGCTGGTACTCATGGAGGCCAGAAGAGGGCATCAGATACCCTGGAGCTAGAGTTACAGGTTGTCAGTGGCCTAGTATGGATCCTGGGAACTAAACTTGGGCCCTTTGTAAAATCTGCAGGCACTTAACCACTTTCTCCAGCGGCAAAACGGGTATTCAATCCTGACAACCTCAATAAAAGAAAGCATTTGCGTGCATTTAGAAGAAAAGAACATTTTAAAAGATAGGGACTCTGTCCTTTGGCCTTGTACTTCCTTAATTTGTTAATTTTTCTGCCACTATTTTGTTTCGTTTGAGCCTACCCTTTTTTCCGCATGCCTATACAATCTTCAGGTTTTTGTTTTGTTTTGCTTTGCTTTGTTTGTTTTGTTTTGTTTGAGAATTTATGAAAACGTATTCGTGGCTCTCTTGATCTAAAGAAACGAATCATTGCATTTAATTTCAGTCTGATTAATGATTTCTGAAAGTAGTATCTTTGTATTATTTCAGAATATCTGAATCCTGTGGAAGAGAACCCTTTTGTGTCCCGGAGGAAGAATGGAGACCTTCAAGCTTTAGATAACCCAGAGTATCACAGCGCTTCCAGCGGTCCACCCAAGGCGGAGGATGAATACGTGAATGAGCCTCTTTACCTCAACACCTTCGCCAATGCCGTGGGAAATGCAGAGTACATGAAAAACAGCGTACTGTCTGTGCCAGAGAAAGCCAAGAAAGCATTTGACAACCCCGACTACTGGAACCACAGCCTGCCACCCCGGAGCACCCTTCAGCACCCAGACTACCTGCAGGAATACAGCACAAAATATTTTTATAAACAGAATGGACGGATCCGCCCTATTGTGGCAGAGAATCCTGAGTACCTCTCGGAGTTCTCCATGAAGCCAGGCACTATGCTGCCCCCACCGCCCTACAGACACCGGAATACTGTGGTGTGAGCTCAGCTAGAGTGTTAGGTGGAGAAACACACGCTCCCTCCATTTCCCTTCCCCCTCCTCTTTCTCTGGTGGTCTTCCTTCTCCCAAGGCCAGTAGTTTTGACACTTCCAAGTGGAAGCTGTAGAGACGCAATGATAGTTCTGTGCTTACCTAACTTGAATATTAGAAGGAAAGACTGAAAGAGAAAGACGGGGGACACACACTGTTTCTTCGTTTCTTCATATGGGTTGGTTAACAGAGTGTCTGTCAGAGCTAGAGGAGGTCTAGGAAGTATAAGGTAGTACTGCCTGCTGTCAAGGAGCCCCATCTTTCTTCTCTTTGCACACACTCTCTCCCCCCTTCCCCCCGTCCCCACATCCCTTTAATCTATCGATGCTGGTGATCGAAAACCCAGACACTGTTCCCATCAGTAGCCATAGTCTTGTGCATCCCTGAAATCATACTAAGGCTTCCATTAGAACAAAAGGATAAGCATTTGGATGCCATTTGATAGTAACTGAGATTGAGAAGCCAATTTCTTTCTCTAATAGTTTCTTTCTTGGCAAGTAAGAATGTCCAACCAACTTTTGTAATTTTTAAATCTCCATTATAGTTATAACTAGTAATTATGCTTGGAATGCATCTCTGTGTTTTTTTTTTCAATTTTGGTTTGCTTTGTCCTATTCCTTTATATCAGTTGCTCCCCTATTTTGGCTGCAGTCTCTAGTTGTAAAGATATTTACATAAAATCCTCTTGACAGAGTTCAAAAAATATTAAATGATGTAGAGATTGTTGTTTTAAATCATTCAGTCATTAAAACTAGAAGAGGAACTTAAGATACTAGTAAAAATAGTATCCAATCTAGAGCTCATGTTTCACACTACTGTCTTCCCTTTCTTTTCATTCTTTACCATTTTATTCTCCCCCAAATGATCATCAATTACTAGCAGCAGGAATCTTAAGAGTAGAAGGGATGCTAAGAAACAGTTCTGTGTGGTTCATAAAACTACTGATATTTTCAGGGGTGGTCCCATGGGGGATCCATGCAGCAGAATAAACACTGGATTGGGTACGTCTACATGGAAGGTACTCAGAAATGTAGTTTGCACTTAAGCTATAATTTTATTTGTTCTTTTTCTGAACTCCACTACTTTTGGATGTTTTGAATGAAGCAATATGGAAGCAACCAGCAAATTAACTAATTTAAGTACTTCTTTTTTAAAGAAAAAGGATCTAAGATAAAGACAGACTGTGGAAATATCAAACCAAGCCGATTAGGACTTTGGAACAGTACCCAGGGATTGTGGTGAGAGGGCCAGCACATTAACTTCATATGATGTGACATTTGCTGTGTAAGGAAGTATGTTAAGTTTGTACTCTCTGTGTGAAGGAATGCAAGTGAAGGACTGGCTTGAATTCCATGGAGTTTCTAGTCTGAGATTCTGTTCGTATTGAATAGTAGGTGACTTAACTCTTCACACCTATGTTGCTATAATTAAAAGTAAACCATCAACATTATGAATAGGTCCACACTTGAGTTAAAAGTTGTAAATAAACATGAAAACCCTTCTCATGCAATTATTTTATTATCCAATATATTAATCTTTTAATAATTTATGTAATGACTCTCTCTTCATATACTACCATACTATCCAGGTTGTAGATCCCTCTGTTAGGTTTAATTTTGAAAGGACTCCTATAGTGTTAAGATTAGTGGTGGGGATAATGACAAATGAATCTCTAGGAAATAAGGAAACAATACATCTCTCTTTTCTACAAAATTTTTCTTCAAGTCATTTAGGTTTTTAAACATTTCTTTCTATTGTTAAAGTTTTGAAAGAACATTAGATTCACTTGCCAAAAATAATCAAGTAGATTAAAAATCTTGGTAAAACAGAGAGTACTCAAGGGAGAAAATTTTAAGTTTATGTTTCTACCTATTTTGAAAAGGTAAACCCATGCATCCAAATCCAGATTTATTCAATTGATATTTAAAATCTACTGAAAGTATGTGGGGGTTGGGGGTGTTCAGATAAATGAAACCATCCTTGACTTAAATTTTAACAGTCTAGATTTATTTGCTGTGTGACATTTTTATTTCTCCGTGAGTCCAAGGAATCAGATTATATTAGCTATTTTGTGAATAGCTTCATAGAACTTTTTGTAAAAGTTCTGAGAAGTCATTGGGATGTAATTTAAACATCTTTCAAACTACTGAAGATGACAAATATAATCACTTCTGTGCTCTTAGCCAGACACAAGCTGGACCACATAAACATTACATCACTGGTAAACTGACATATCTGGAATGCTACCATGAAACGAGGTCAAACTCCTTGAAAATGTCGGTTTGTCCTCCTCTTCAGGGAAGAGAAGAGAAGCAAACTGAAAGTGAAAGGTGGAGACAGCAGAGGGGTCTGTGAGATCCTGTCTAGAGAAATTTACCAGATGCAGAATGATCCAGAGGCTACAGCCTTAAAGCCCAAAGCTCCCCAACCCAATTCAGAAGCATCCTCAAGGACAAGGGACCTTATATAAGTACCTATTTCCTATGAAGAGTTAAAGTAAGCCTTTGTTAGTAAATAAATGTATACTGTCAGCATCTTTGGAATGCTATAAGGACTTTTTCTCTTCATTTAAAATGTTTGTGTGGCTTCTAGTGAGATAAAGAAAGCAAAATCATTTCATTAGTAAATAAAACAGGATAATCTCTTAGCTGTTAATGCAATGTAAAGGTAGTCAATGAGGGTTGTCTTTTTCTTCCTTAAAAGCACAGGATTCACAGTTCCACCCATCTTCCCCTAGAGACAGATGCAGGTGTAATTGAGAGTGACACCAGGTGCCATTTTTATCATTCCTTTTTATAACTTTTTAATATAACTTGATTTCAGTTGTTTTGGTATTTCATGTTTATTTAGATTTGACTATCTAGGCCCTAAGTTCTGGGAGGGGGGAATTATTCAAGAGTGTATTAGAGGGACAAACAACAAGCAGGAATCAGGGAGGATGTACATTCATTTGCTCAAGAGAATAACTTGCTTAACCCAGTAAAATAAAATTGTAAGACACTAATTAAAGACTACAGATTGCTGTGGAATATCAGGTTCCAAGACTGAGCAGCACCAGAATCTGTTTGTAAAACTGACTAAAATTAATGTTAAAATTGAGCTTACTATGTTTTTTAAATTATCAAATTGTAAGGATCAAGTTTATCATGGAAAATCCTATTTTCAGGGATAAATTTTTTTTCAGTGGAATAGCCACTTAAAGAAACCACTCTTGAGCAAATGAGAAAAGATGTCCTCTAAGTCAATGGAAGTCCAGAGCCACCAAGCTGCTGCTACTCAAGCAAGGTTAATAACAAAACTATTCCTAGTTTTCTTAAATTACATTAGTAGCACAGATTAGGATATAGTTTACTCTCTCTAGACGCATTCTTGCAACAGTGTAAAAATAATGCAAATTGCATACTATTAAAAACATAAAACTAAGGATGAAAGTCTTACTAAGTAACAGTCTGCTTTTCATAGGTCAGGAAGGATGGCTGACAGGCTCTATCTTGAAAGAAAAAAATGGGACTTTTAAGTGAGACACTGTCATGTTCTATACTTTTAGAGAATGACACATATTGTCAACGGTGGAGAAAAGTTAGTAGGGAGATATGAGACTCCATGAATAGATGAAGTTAGTGGGATAATTAGTGTACTCCTGAAGTGTCAAAACAAGAAAGAGTAAGCAAAAGTGTTTATGCCTGTGCTTGACACAGAACGTTGTAAATACAAGATTCTCTTGAACAGGCTTAACCTTTCTTTAAAAGCTAGAAGTCATTGTCCATCTGTAATTGTTGATTATTTAACTAGTACATGTAGTTCATAAGGGAATAAAAATGGTGACCACAAAAGCATGTGTACAACTGGACACAAGCACGACAATGCTATTACAACATAGAATTAGCTAGGTTATCAGATGTTAAATGCTTTCAATAGTAATACGCAAACCAAATTATAAAACTAGTCACAATAACAAAATAAAATTCAGGCTTTGAAAATGTAGGATGGATCTTTCACAGTAAATAAAAATAAGTTGCCCATTTAAAATGGTTGTTGGCTGTAGTTAACAGATCGTAGGTATAGTGAGGCTTCAATTGTAAAAACTTGCTTTAAAGCACTCCAGTTGGTTTTTCTCATGTTCTCTTATTCCTTCATTACACTTTAATTTAATAAGTATAAAGAGATGCTATATATGAGGATTCTGGTTTGCAGACATCACATTGAAGGGTCTAACAGGCAAATAAACCACAGGAGAATTTAAGAGATCTTTAAAATGAATAATGGAAATGAAAAAGGTTCTATTGTCTTTTGCAAAAAAAAAATGAGTGTTTAACTCAGTAATTTAGAAAGCAAGTAAGCTATTTAATTTATGAAGTATCTTTTCTTTTCCTACTACCTTGCTGATATAACCAAAATGGAGCCCATTACCCCTTTTATTATTATTATTATTACTCATAAATAGATGCTAAAGCAAGAACTTTAAATTTTTCAATTGGTGTTCTTTTGGACTCTAGTTTTTAACTGGTTATTTGTTATGGGCCAAATAGGAAATCCAGGAGCAGATCTATGAGCAGTTGAAAAGCCAGACAAACCAATTTCTACTGCATATTGCATGGGCAGAAAATCTGGTTGTGCCTCTCTGTGTCTGACGGACAGTCTTATACCCATGTAGACACAAAAAGGCAGGCTATCATCTCCTGCTAGCCATCTATCTGTTCAAGACCAAATGACATAGGAATATGAATGTGAATCAGACATGATTTTAGACAATCTTTGACAGTTGAGACCTTCTTGTTGACTCTAAGATGAGGCCAGCGTTTATGATTTCTGGATCGACACATTTTTTTCTAATCCAAGAGATGCCTTTGAAGGTGTTCTCTCTGCGGTTGTGAACATGAAGATGAGAGCACTGTATCAGACCAGATGCCCTTGTGTTTGTATATATAAAACCTTCCAACACCAGAGACTGCTTTGTTCCTTCATTAAATAAAATTCTATAAAATGGTAAGAATTTCAGATGCTCTATTCAAGTCCCAATGATTTAGCCAGGAGACAAAAGTCTCACCTCACTCCTTGGCCAAGAGATTGTTTGGGCACAGGAAAATGCTTCTAGTGTCACAGGCTGTAAAGATGATATAAGCCCCAATTTCAAGGGAACATTCACATGTCTTCCCTGTAAAGAAATTTCTTAGAAGCCAACTTTGCAAGTAAATGATCACCTTGTCACAAAAAGTAATTTGTGACAAAATGGCATCTTTCCTCTCCCATTCCTAACTCTCACAATGCCTTCCCCATTTTTTTTTTTGTCACAAGTTCAAATTGGCATTCCTGGGCTATCGCTTTCTTAAGCCATCGTGGATCTCTGAAGGACCACATCACCTTCTGAAACACTGGCCTAACCTTTGCCTTCAAATGCCTGATTTTTTTTCCATTAAAATATTCAGCCACTCTAGAAGATGTTTAAATTGCTTCTCAAACAAAAGACAGGACAAAAGAATTATTTAGGATATTAAAATTGTTTTTCCATGACTATTGATTCTATCATTGTGGGCTTCTCTGTAGGATTTTAAGATTAGTTAGCTCTGTAATGAATCTCAAGACTCACATACGTACATACACTTCTAGATCTTACATTAATCTTTCCATGAAAACTATATATGTGTATGTATAGTTTTTATGTATATATATAAAACTAAGTTATTGCTGACAACTAACTTATTTACTTTGATCACCTTATTTTATTCCTGATATAAATATTTTACAGCTGCTAGAGTTTTTGGTTGTTTTTTTCCAAATGAAGAATTTTATTATCATGACGGTAGAGGCAATTCACCTATGAAAACTTCCTGTGACTTTTGTTGGAACATTCATCTCTCTAACAAATTTATAATAAGCGCCGTTTCACTGTAATGAAAGTCCATGTTGACTGACAGAACTCTTATCTACTCTTTCTCTACTTTAGGAGGAAATCTTTCTTTTAATACTTTTGTGTGTTTTTCCCCACATCACTAAAAGTGTTTATATTTGTAAAGATATACAAGTACAAGAAAACAAGCTTTTGCATCTGTAGGCAATAGTCAAATTTGTCCTTTAACTTTGTCTTTACTGCTATTTTTAGTCCTGATATGTTGCTGTTTTCCCCAGGCCTGTAGCCCTTTTGAAGAAAAGCAAATCACATTCCCTCTCTATTGACAGAAACCTGATGTTCAAATATCATTTCCAGTGTTTTTCAGTTAATGGAGTGGTTGGGTCATTTTCCTTAATGTGAGAGTCATCTCCCTGTATAGTTCTGGATCTCTCAGGGGCTGGGAGTGGGGAGTGAGGAAACAGCTACCGAAGCACTCCAAGAACCCTTATGGAATTACTCCGGTAATCAGCTATGAAAGTTATTTTCTAACTGTAGATATAGGTAAGCCGTTCTTTTCAAGTAAGGTACTTTGAAATATGTAGCATAAACTGGTACTGCTGTTAAATGGGTCGACTATTAAACTGAGCTTCTGTGTAAGAGGCAGCTAACTTTGAATGCACACCTTCCTGGCTGGCTTGTGTACATCTCATGTGTGAGCACCAAGGCCTTCATCGCTGCACACCAAGAGTGTGCCTCCACATGCTCTGGCTGCTTGATCATTTCTCGATGAGTATCATTAGATCAAGATGAAACGTAAATGAGGTTAATCCGAGACTAGGTCACATTAAAGTTTTAAAAAATTCATCTCGTGCAGGCCTCACAGTAGTTGACTAAGATCACTTTGGGTGATAAAAGGAGACAATTTGCAGAAAAGGCAGAGTTGTGTTTGTTTCCTTATTTTCTTGACATATAAACAGAAAACAAGCCCTTTTTCCTTTCCTCTGAAGAGTCATCAAAGGACAGGGCTGTATTAAAAAAAAATGACTTGCTGGTAAGCCATCTGTGTTTCATTTAAATCCCAGCATTCAAAGTTAGCTGCCTTTTTTGAAACAAACAAACAAAAAATACTACTGTATGTTTGAAAATGTGAATAGTATTTTTATAGCTTGTTAAAGACATGGCTAGCTGCATTTGTAAATAAGGATAGTGTTGCTTTGATTTTTTCTTTGATGAACATCTTTATTTGGAACATAATTGTCTTTAGGGTTGATTTGTATATAAGTAACTGGCTTGTGATTGTTTCTCTTTCAGTTGGAAGTTATCATTTTGACATTACCTGTGATTCTGTGTTCAGCACAATTGTGATGTGTCCAACCTCTGCACTCGCTTACACAATAGGATATGCCAATTGTGTGTGGTGAAATGTTATTTTCATTTTTTCTATTTTATCTATGAAGGATTATGCACTTAACACATACTAACTTTTTTAATGTTAGGTATATTTTTAGTATAATTTCCCGATTCTTTCTTCTCCTCCAACCCTTCAGCTTCTTTTCCCTTCTTTCCCTCTTTTCTGTTGTTATTGAGAATGAGGGAGAAAATGTATTTTAAATGGATGTAATTAGGCTTTTTGAGGTAGTTCTCAAGGATCCTCTTTTGACTCTTGGGAAAGAATTGTGCGTGCACAAGGCAAGTATAGAACGCAAGCTGCTTTGCCTCATTCCGTACTGATCATCCCAGCTGAACAATTTGAAAACTGTTCTGCCTTTTTGTTACATGAATCTGTCAGAAATATATTTTTAATTTAATATAAATGAAATTCAATAAAATATGAAACAAATGTTCTTTCTGTGCTAGAACTTTTTTAATAAGAAAAAATCAGTTGGGGAAGAGAAAGGTTTGTTCTGCATTAAATGATTTGAAGATGTGAAATGGCTTTATTTTTGTTCATGCTTAGAAACCTCATTGATGATTCCTCAGAAGCCTTTAGCTGGCTGGACTGTGATCTGCTCCATATGCTTTCACTATCCAGGCATATGCCTATTGACTCGTCTGCACAGGCTGTGCTTAATTAACTGTGGTTGGTTTGTTTCACTGGGAATAAAAGAAATATAAAATATTTTGTAGGTGGAATACAAATACCATTTTGTTTCTCTCTATCTTCATTGCAGTCCATGATGATACATTATTTTTTTTTGAAACAGAGAATTCAGATGGCAACACCATGCTTTCAGAAGGAGGGGTGGAACACCATGCTTGCAGAAGGAGGGGTACTTAGAGAGAATGAGACATTCAATTGATAATTCAGGAGTTAAGCCCATGGAACTCTGGGAAAGTGATATGAGATACTCATAACTCTTGGTTTTATCTTTTCTATTCAAGATTTATTGTTAATTCTTTTTGCCTGTAAAGTGTAGAAATGCTGCAGTTCCAATAATTTCTCATTAGAAATCTATTGTTCTTTCAAACTACTCTGCTTATTTGATTATATATGATCTGGACTAAATCAAGGGACAAGAACAAAACAGTTTCAACACAATATATTACAGAAAGTTCACTTATAGCCTTTAAATATTCTTTTCATAATTACCTGTTCTGCTTGAATGGTAACTTGTACATACCCTCACACCCACCCTCGGATATTTTGACCTTTTCATGTGAGTCAATCACTGTCAATTAACTGTGTTCAGGGTGAAATATGTCAGGACACCACCATGCATTTAGATCACAGATAAACTGGACAAAAGAGGGAACAATTTCTTCCTTATGCTTTACGATACAATTGAAATTTCCAATAGGACTATGCTAGTTTGTATCACTTCTAATACTTATCAAATTTTTAAGCATTTTATAATATATAACTTTATTCTGCATATTTGGACTTACCATACTCTTTTGGAAGCAATATTATTGAGATAGTCCTGGCCACCCTTATAAAGAAAAATAAAACAAAAAGGAAAAAAAATGTCTAGAGTCATGCAACCCTGGGAGCTGGGTTTCCTATCTGAATTATCTCTCTTTCCTCTGATGGTTAACCAGCTCTTTCATCTTCCACCCAATCATGTGTGCCTGCTAAATAAAAGCTTCAATCTAGTTGGAGCCTGCTTTACGGTCACGCACTGAGTTCAGCTACCTATGATCTTCATTATTCATTAACAACTGATCTTCAAACTCAACTAAGTGTTTTACCTCCTTAAAATACTTGGGATCATCTTACTTATAATGGAGAATTAGATTCTCTTCATTCAAGAAATACATGTCATTCAGTCCTAGGCAAAAATCTCCAGAAACATAACCATGTGGAGAGCCTACTGTCTGTACTGAAGAGGGCTAGAAGCTTAATTGGTAATGGTGCCACCCAGGCCATTTCACATATCAAAGAATGTTACAGATAGCCCCATTGGTTTTCTGGCAAAGTTGGTACATGAATCAATACTAATACAACACAGAAATTCCCTGATTTATAAAGAAGTTGATGCATTTTCTATTATTTGAAATGTGTTAAATGGTTACTGGAAATTTCTGGAATGTAGCATAAGATCTTATCTAGATCCAGTGTCAATCATTGAAAATCATGACAATGAAAGCTGAGATTTGAATTGCAGACCCATGGCCCTAGAACTTGAGATTCTGAAGAGAATCAGTACTACAAAGCAAGCCTAGTGTAAGAATTTCCAAGCCATTTTGGCTAAAATCTGAAGCTCAAGCAATCTGCAGAAAAGAATTACTGTGCCGTTACAGGAGGGAGAAATTGCAAGGTATTAGAAATATACTAGAAATTGGTGGCCATAGTTAATGTTAAAGTCAAAGTCCCACTATTCTTATGTGCTTTAAACTTAAAAAACTTAAAGTTACACTTCTTTCATTTTAAATCCTTATTGTGGGATACATATACAATATGCATATATACAAATATATGTAAAGATATAGAGAGAATAAACTATATAAAGTATTTGAAGGTTTATTTTTACAATGCAAGACATCATAAAAAATCTTTATTCTCAAGCTATTTCACCACAAGCCTTGAGATATATATCATACTTCAAGTTACATTCATAACACTGTACACTGAGCAGGTGCATAGTTAGTTAATTGTATTTCTCTCCAATGTGCAGTCAAGCTGCATGATAAACCATGGGGAGCAAAGCCACTAGACAGCCATCTTAAGATTAGAAATAGAAGACTGTCTCCCAGACAGCAGTTTTAGAGCTATAAACAGAAAAATTCACCATAAGATAGCAATCAAGGGACTGTGAACCAAATGGCACACAGGAGATAGAAGATGGTGCCTGTACCTACTCTAGCATGTTACCTATAGGTTTTTAAAATAAAAACCGCTATCTTGAAGATAATTAGGCCATTTTCTACTTTCTTATCACTTCAGATAAGTAGAATTCTACTACACAAGATTATCAAAAATTGCTGCCTCTTTGACAAAAAAACAAAAACACCAACCGACAAATCTTCCAAGCATGAAAGGTAGGTGCTAATAGCTGACCACTGATTCCTATGAAAAGAGATGAATAGAAGCACATAGATATCAACGATATCCAGAAGATTAAGTCTTCATATTTCATCTTTGTCACCTTATAAGGCATTTAAAGTTATCTTCTATTTATTCCAAAACTTAGAGATTTGCCCTGTAGTTACTTAGTGTGAAATTATTATGCTTGTGTGGATTTGAAGGCGCTGCCACCATGGCGACATAAACACAATAGAAACTGGTTGTGTGCTTCTGTAAGGTGACTGTCCATTAAAATCCTCACACATGTTCTTTTTCATTGTTTCCTATAATTTTACTGGCTAGATACTGATACTTCTCCCTTGTCACAAATGAAGAAAGTTTAAAACAATACATGAGAAAAGTCACAGAAAAAGTGGATCAGCTAAAATACAAATGTACCTGATGCAAAAGTACATTATCCCTTATGAGATAATATAGTTATCCTACAACATTAATACTAAAATGGCCCTCATGGTTTATTCTTTCGTCACATATTTAAGTTGATGTATGCAGTTAAGATAACTGCATATGTTTCTGAAAAAAAAATCTTTTATAAATTACCAGATTAGTTGGAAGCAGAACATATAAGCTGAAATATATAAGAATTTTATTCAGCCAACTTTGAGGGGTCCTTCTCATTACCACCTCAAAGCAATTCTCCTCTGAAACATCTTGAGCTAGACCCTCACAATTCAAATCATCCTCTGGACCATTGTCCTCCAAACAAAAACCTGGTCTAGCAATATCCCAATCCCTAGTACCCATTTCTGTCTTCTATTTATTGCTGTGAAGAGACACTATGACCACAGCAGCTCTTATAAAGGAAAACATTTAATTAAGAATGGCTTACAGTTTCAGAGGTTCAGTCCATTATCAACATGGCAGGAAACATGGTAGAATACAGGCATATGTGGTGCTGGAGAAGGAGCTGAGAAGTTTACATCTTGATCCACAGGAAGGAGAAGGAGACTACCACACTAGGCCTCACTTAAGCTTATGAGACTTCAAAGCCCGCCTCCACAAAACCTACCTCAACAGTGATACACCTCCTTCAACAAGGTCACACCTCCTAATAGTTGCACTCCCTATGGGCCAAACATTCATATGCATGAGTCTATGGGGCCATTCCTATTCAATTCTCCACATTTGCCTTAATAAAATAGCTTATTTACTCTATGGTCTCACAGTTCTAAAACTTTCCCTAGGAAGCCATAGCACTTCATCTTCCAGCTTGCCAGTTTAAACATTACCAAATGATAACCATAATAGAAAGAAGTCTGGCAGCTCAGAGTGGGACTTCTCATTGCCACTCTCAAGGAATGACAGATGACTCTGTTCATATTCTCTTGGTTGAAACTAGCCACCTGGAATTGCTCAGGTTCAAAGTCCTAGGAGCACCCTGATGGTAAGTGAACATAAGTTTGCCTGACACACGACTGTTGCAGCAATGACATTGAAGGGAAAATCTGGTCTTTCAAGACAGCTAATAATGCCATCTGTTAGAGCATACATGACAGCTCTGCATGCTGGTGATTATTGCTAATCTAGTCTTTATTCCTCTGGGATATGGACAAGCACATTTGACCACCAGCCATTTGATCTAATTTACCTTTCATTCTCATATAGTCTTCATAGAACTGTAGTACTCAAGACCTCCTGCCAATTCCTGGACATTTCTAGAGGAGATAGGAAAAACTGTTCACTTGCAATGGTCTGGAGTTTGAAAACTTGATCATGTGACTACAGCTTCTTCCTAGTGCAAAACCAGGTGAAGCTCTTGAAGCTAACCATCAACATTAGCAGCTAAAGGCCCTTGTTCCCAAGCCTGACAACCTAGGTTCAATCCTTGAAGAAGAACACTAACTGCACAAGTTGTACTCCAACCTCTGCATGAGTTCTGTAGCACAAGTATCCCCCAACACACACGATAAACAAAACACACAAACAAAAGATTTGAATTAAGGAACACCTCACAAAGTGAAAATACCAAGTTTTGGAGGTTCCTCACAAGACTATGTCCTATCATATTTTTTTTAGATCAGAAGGTCTTGTATGTTGGAAAATTGGATAGATAAAGGAAAAGGAATATTTTGAAGAATGTTGTAAATAAAATTATCATTTTTCTAGCCAAAATTAGGTTTTTCAAATTCTGTTTCCTCTCATGTCATGAAGTTCTTCTTTGTTGTTGCCTCAGGAAAAAATTTCCACAGGAAGATGAAGAGAGGAGGTTGGGAAGGGAAGAAAAGTTATTCACCAAGCAGTGTGCTAAACATATTGCATGGATTTAGTCACCAAATGTTTACAAATAGTGAGGAAAGACCTATCATTTAATATAC